TTTTTTTTTTTTTTTTTTTTTTTTTTTTTTTTTTTAATACAGTACATTATCAAAGAATAGTACATCGCGACATTAAACCGAGCAATCTTCTGGTGGACAGCGATGGTCGAATAAAAATCGCTGACTTGGGTGTTAGTGCGGAATTAAGGGCATCCGGGGAATTGTTATCGGGACCAGCTGGTACACCGGCTTTCGCAGCACCGGAAACAACCATACTAAACGCTCATTATTCCGGCACGGTAAGAATACGAATCAAAAGTTATCTCTTAAGAAAAATATTCTAACTTATGATAATAAAATATTAATCGATAGAAAATTTTAATCTATGATAAATAGAATGCATCCAAAAATTGGATCAACTTTTTTCTATTTGTTTTTTAAGCGTACAAATACAACTTTTCTTAAAGTTACCTTTACAGATTTTCGCATACTCTATATTAATATCTTAGGTGTGTAATATTATTTTCTAAACTCGTCTCATTTTCAATTTCATTTTATAATGTTGTCTTTTGTAACGCAATATTCTTGGAATTTGTCCTATTTCGTATGTTTCGTTGTTCGCACGTTAAACGAAATGATCTTCCTTACGATCAAATTTCACGAGTAAGGATATCTCTTTTATTATTATTATTTTGTTAAATAATACCTTTTTCACATTCCTTTTTTTTTTTTTTTTTTTTTACTTTCTCTCCATTATTAATATTTTTTATTAAAACCACCAACACGATATTTTCGTAAATACATTATCTCATCTCTCTATCTCTATTTTTAGCATCCGAAGTATTTTCCTATTACATATTCAATGTTTGCTATGTAGAACGAACAGATTTATCCGAGAAAATTCACTTTTAACCGTTTAGATTGTTATTTACATTTATAATAGAAATATTTAATAACGAGAGAGAGATAAACATTTGACATTATTTATTTATTTCGTTTATTAATTAACCAACTATCTTAAAATAATATAAAAATAATCGAGAAATAGATAGAGAAAATTAAATTAGAAGGTGACGTTAATCCTAAAGTCTCCTATTGATATATTACATTATCGATGTTAATTAGGGAAAAGGGCTTATCGATTTCCAAAGGGCCTATATATTAAGATCGTCGATGCCAAGCGTAATTACCAAATGTAAACAACCCTTGGCCCGATCCTTCGTAATCGTATTCTCGAGCGTACGAATTTAACGAAGTTTACTTAATCGAGATTACTCGAATTTCTATCAAGCCGTGTCTCGATGTACGGTCATTTTCGAAGCTAGGTGCGTTTAATGTTGTTTATGTTAGCGCCAAATTGAAATTCGATTAATTATTCTCACTGCGAAAAGATATCATCCTATATTAACTATATCGACCAAGTAGTTTAGATTGGTTAGCTGATTTCATTCCCCATTCAAAAATAAATCAAAAATGTATCAAATTATTGTACGAAATGACACACTGAAAAGAAGTTTTAAGTAATTTATTAAGAAAGAAGTATAATATACAAAATATAAAACATATTTTATATATTCGACAATACAAATAATATTTTAATTAATAATATTCGATTTTTTAATCCTTCTTTGCATGATAATGGAAATTTCAATCATAATATTTAGTCAACAAAAAAAGGTACTCAAAATCCTTGTACTGTATATTTGTTGTTGCTGGCAACTTCAAAAAAAAA